TCCGCTCCCCACCCGTGTTTGCATTGTGGCTGGCTCTATTGGTGTTATTACCGGCCCCAAGGAGCTTGGCGTCCCGAACCCGATCCGGGTTGGTGATGCGGAGATCGTAAAGAAACTCTGTGATGGCCTTGAAAAGAGCACGATCGTTGTTGTCTGTGATACGACCACCGTACTGAATTTCAGCAACCATGTAACACACCGTGTCGCGGTTTACTGGATTCTTGAGATTCTCGCCAATTGTTGTCATGTGATTGATGAGGAATTGAACGGAGGCGGTCCAGTCACCCTGGTTGAATTCATAGGGTACACTGAAACCAATCGGACCAAACTTGCGCCGCTCCACCACAACGGAGTGGAGGAAGCACTGAGTAAAAAGCATGGGCTTCCACTCTGGACGACGGAACATTTCAAGGTAGTCTTGTGACAACCAAGAGTATGTACGCACAAGACTTGCCCGGATACCTTGTGGCGGTTCATTGGTCAGCTTGATGGACATCTGCAGTAGTCCAATAGGGAAGGCCTTGTGTGGCTCTGTCGTCACCCACAAGCGTGCCTCCTCGTGGATTTCCACCTTTTTCCCACCAGGCAAAAGTTGCTGGCGTAGTTTTTCCTCCAACTGCAGCAGGAACGGCAGGCCAAGATGACAGTTCTGCAACAGGGCCCAGTCCCCGTTGGTCCATGCGTTGTTCACGATGTTCATCGCCGCTTCTTCCTGTCCCTGACCCATGGAAATGGGGAATATCTTCTTCTTGAGCGACTTTGCCGCCGCCTCAATAAGCGTCGTCGGGTCAGAGCCCTGCGACAGGAGGAACACAATGGGTGTCAAGCCAGTTGTTTCCTCCACGACGTCATGAAGGTCAAGATGCTGCGGCTCTGCAAACTCTTTTCCAAGTGTCCGAGAGACGTATTGGTTGGCGGCAAGCATCGTGCGGTCCTCACGCAGGGCACGCACGATGAGAAGACGATCAAAACTGTCCAGTTTCTCGTTGATGTCAGGGACTGGCAAGTTTTCAATGGCGTCGGAGTCAATGAACTGTCGCCATGCCTGTTCATTGCGCATAATGAGGTCGGGAAGCTGCTTGAAGGACCGCGGTACATTTTCTGAGAGTGCAAGAACGTTCGCCCACAACTTTTCTTTAATCCAGAGAAACGGTTTCGAACGATCCACCTGCATTGCACCACCACCCTTCAAAAAGACATCAAATGC